TGTGATATTAATACTTTTACTTCAGTGAAGGATGTGAATACTTCCTCCAGCACTCTTTATCTGACAGACATCAGAGCTCATCAGTGTCTCATCGTCACCTCATCACAACCAGCGCTAAACGCTACACCACAGAAACGATGGAGAGATTGTGTGGATTCAACATGTGTAAACTGTATTTACATTCTGTTTGATCCTTGTTAGTGTATTTTCTGTATTTACATTATTTAGTATCCTACAATAAAGCAATCAGAAGGTATTTATAAATGTAAAGCGAGGCCAGCTCATTGGTGCAGCAGCTTTAAAACACACAAACTCACTGCAGTCAAGAGACAAGGTCACTCTGAGGAACTGTTACTCAGGTAATCGTACGACACTGATACATGCAGCAGGTCAGTCACTACATTTCTCCACTATCATGTATTTACTACATTACTTTGAATGAAGTAATGATACAAGGCACTGCTTGCTGTTCTTGTTTTGTATGTGTGTAATGTCTGTGTTAGTGTGACAGCTCTTTCAGTGCAGTGTGAACTCGGGCTGCACAATGAATCTAATATTAATCACGTTTCTGGCTTTTCCACATTTAGATGAACATGATTGTAACAGGACGGTACGGAGGACACAGGAATTAGTGGCAGCGCAGCAATCACAGGCAGAGTCAGTTCTGCAGGTTTTTAATGAAACGAACTTCAACAAACTCAAAACAACTGAAAACGTATCTCAGTCCAGAGCTCTATCAGTTAACTACACAAACTAAACATATCAGCCGGGCCGCTAGCCGACTTACCGGCTTAATCTTCATCATCAAGAGGAGAAGCCACTCTTCTCCTCTCGTCGCATGCTCCCCCTGCTCCGTCTCCCTCTTTGCCTTTTGTTCACCTCCCCGATGAGGAGACCAGATCAGGTGTGTCTCTTCCCACACCTGATCCTGGTCTCAACGCTCCCCTGAGGGAGTGGGTGGAGCCTTCTGGCTGGAATGTAGATTCCAGCCACGACCCTGCCCCTCAGGCCCTTACAATGATCGACTGCTCAAAAGAAAAGTCTGCTGCATATTATTTATTTATGGTTCATGGACAGATACAATGCACACAGACACACTGAAAAGCTACCTGATGCAAGTATCCTGGTGTTTATAGCGGATGCTCGTTTGCATCAAGAAGAAGCTCTTATTTTGATGCAGATATGTGAACATTGTCAGGCATGCAGCACAATATATTTAATTGTTAAAGTGCGATGACAATATTTTGTCCCTAAAATCGATGAATAATCGTGATCTCAATATTTATTGAAATAATCGTGATTATCATGTTGGCCATAATGGTGCAGCCCAATGTGTCTCAATCCAACAGTCAAATGTTCAGAGCAAACTTCAGTTTCAGTCTGATTTTGGATGAGATTATTCTGGGCTGAACTTCCCCATCTGTCTGAAGGCTTTAACATAAACGTGTAAAAAGACGATTAGAACCAGTATACATGGCTCAGAAAGTGAAGACATCCTCTACCCCGATTAAAGAAATCGTGTTACTGCAGAAAGTCGACTGTGTCTGCTTATTAAAGAGCACGTAAACACACTGACAGACAGTTCAAAGTGCTTCACGTAAGCCAAATAAACATATATCAACGTGAAAATAAAAGATAATCTCATCCCCTCAAAGCGGTATGAATCTCTCACACTATCGCCTGTTTAGAGGACCAGCAGATGGCGAACGGTCTTCTGCAGCTTGAGACCCGTGAGAGCTGAGAAGGGAGGGAGGCCCTCGAAGCCCAGCAGCTGACGGGTGGAGGTTTCCCAGCTCAGACCGAACTCCAGCCGGCTGCAGACGCACGGGTACTGACGGTCCGCCCAGCAAACCCAGTCCACCGCCCGCTTCACCTCCGCCCACCGCGCGGGCCTGGAAGCAAAAAATACAAATGAGAACATTAGGTTTAAACCAGGAGAGTCTACTTTAAAAGTCCCTCTTCTGAGAACACAAGTCTTTATGCTCGATGCTGGATTCAGCTTCATTAACACGAGACATCACACTTGTTCTTGTCCCTACATGTCCTGTTCTGAACGTTGTTTGCAGTGTGTGCCTTGAGTGGGTTTTTATTTATTGGTGTCGGTATCTTCATGCTGGTCTGTGTGGTTTTGGACAGACCTGGGCAGAGAGGACTCGTCCAGGCTGAAGAGGGTGCGGAGCAGTTTGCCCTCCTCCAGCTTCTCCACCCTCATCAGCTGCAGCACCAGAAGAGTCGCCACCAGCCTCAGGATGTCAGCGTGGGCCCTCACACCTACACACACACACACACACACACACAGATATCTCTACCGGTTATAAAGGACAGTGAGGAGAGCGGAGCAGAAGTGAAAACTGGCCACAATGACGGGACTTTTTAACCCTCTGAACCCTGAAGCAGTTTGGGGGCCTTGATGTTCACTGCGATCTAAAAGTCCCAGGAAGATGTCAGAATCGGTCAAAATGATGTGAAATAACAAAACCAGTTTCTGAGAGTCCTCACCGAGAGACTGGATGCCCTTGTTTTTCAGGAACACGTTGGCAAAGAGGTCCACATTGACATTCATGAGTTCACCCAGCTCTGTGGTTAACTCCCAGTAGCCCTCCTGCAACACACACACACACACACACACACACACACACACACACACACAC